GGCGAAAAGAATCATTACAGTATTCAAGGTCACTCAAGGATACGACAATAGCTTCGCTACATGTTACATGTCCACCAAAAATAATAGCGGACATGTACTGTCCAGGAAACTGTTTGTATCTATAGAAAAGTGTTGTTTTTTATCTGTTGCAATGCACGGATGCAGAAAGGCTTGTTTTGCCGCTTTATAGTAAATGACCGCAGGTGACCCCGAAATAGAACGCGGGTTCGATTCGAATTGCCCAGATCGAACACAGTTCGGGTTCTATGAAATGTGGGAACTTTGCAGCCCAGATTTTACCACCGTGAAGCTGAAGTTTAGATAGAACAGCTGCAAGTGACAATAACTACATTAGACCCTTATTATTGTCATAACTATAGTGTACTTACATTTGTACATTAATTTTGTAGATAGCTTAATAACAGCTGTCCTGATAATAGTGATATTGAAGTAATAGGCATATCAGTGAGTGATAGGAGGTTCTGTTTTTCTATTGCCACAGAACTACAAGCATGAACACAACAAGACCATGAGCTGTAAGTCCATCGCCGCCATGCTGTCCACAGTGCTGTACTACCGACGGTTCTTCCCTTACTACACATACAACATTCTGGCAGGGCTGGACGAAGAAGGTACTAGTAGTTTTCATTGGTGTGAATATGGAGATTTTTAACCCAGTTTTGGAAAACTTGTGAAGAAAGAAATAAATGAGATAATCTGGTATCTAAATGTTATTGATTTGTACAGTATGTGCTAGACATCTGACTTGAACTTTGCCATTTAAAATTTCTGTCCAATAGCGATTTTTGTGTCAAAATGGCCATTTTTTTTAGTGAGGTAGTGTCAGACATACAAAATGTAATATACAGCTACATTTGTACATATGTGCATACTTGTACATTTATCTTTGTAGACGTTTACTGACCAATATTTTCCTGTCTTTAGGGAAAGGCTGTGTGTACAGTTTTGACCCGATAGGTTCGTATGAGCGGGAAGTCTACCGTGCAGGTGGATCAGCCAGCGCCCTCCTCCAGCCACTCTTGGATAACCAGGTCAGCAAGTCTGATTTCCTGCAGTACCAGTACTTGTCTCTAGAGGGGGCAAATGTGTGGAGCTTTTGCTGTCAAGCAAAACAAGGCTAATCACCCAAGCATGTCCACCCGAAGGCTATTAAAAGTCATAGAGCTGTTAATACTGTTTCAAGGCTCATTGATCTTTTTTAAAAATTTCAAAAATTGGTTGTTAATACCTTTAGGTTGCACGATTTTAAACCACCTTTTGTTTTTCATGACCAGATTGGAATGAAGAATATGCAGGGAGTGGAGCGTCTGCCTGTCCCCAAGGAGAAGGCAGTAGCCCTGGTGAAGGATGTCTTCATCTCCGCAGCAGAACGAGACATCTACACCGGCGACCAGATCATCATCAACATCGTCACCAAGGACGGCATCCAGGAGGAACAGTTCCCTCTCAGAAGGGACTGAGTTTTTCCTATCGTGTTAACCCTCACTGTCCCAAGGACTGACGGAACCTGTCGAGTTCGCCACCTTACTAGCAGCACTTGGGACAGAGACGGTTAAACTATTCATGAAGCTAAAGCAGATCTTGTTGTATCAGGAATATGGTGTTGTTATCTCTGTTAAACACTTAGACTAGCTGTATAAAAATTACTACTGAACATCTAGCCCACTCTTTAAAAAGCAAACATGGCATACAATGTGACACAATGTGACACAAGGCTTAGAAACATAGAAGGACCCATGTATTGGTGAAGATAATAAAAAAAAAGTACTATCTCATGTCTGTCAGATGTCTGATGTGTTCTTATAGGTGTTTAGCTGTAGCTCAGTTTACACAGGTCTGAAATTTAAAATTAAGTACATGTACCTTGAACTTACATTATCCCTCAAGCCATTGAGAGGGAAATAGTGAGAGGAAGGGAATGCATGAATAGCGGAATGATTGAAAATCATGTCCAGTTGCTTGAGTAACTATTTTTGGCGTATGTTGTTACCTGGATGTCTAATCTTCACTGACGATTGAATGAATGACTTGAGTGCTGTCAGTACATGACACCTGTGGAAGATTGATTGATGGAGTGGTATGATGTCACCTTCCACACAACACCACGGAATACAGACAGCACATCACCATGGCCAGGCAGTATCCATTCGCCAGGGAGGGTCCATACGCCACCCAAGGATACTGCCTGGCCAATGTATACTGTCTTTAGCCGCCCTAGGATCTGCTTGGAGATTAGTGTAGGCCATCCATTGGCCAACAGAGAAGACAGCATTTATTCTAGGGCCTGCATTCACACAGACATCTTTGTAACATTTTGCACCTACCATTCTTGGTAATTTTGACTGATAGAAAACTGAAAGAAGTTTTTACTGTAGTTTCTGTTAAAGGTCTCAAACATAACCTCCAGCATGTAACATTATAATATAACACAATGAAATATGATAGTTCCATAAAAATGGAGAGATCAAGTACAATGTACAGGTAATGTTACACTGTACTACCCCGATTCTGTACATGTACGCTGCCATTTGAGTGGTAATACATGTACCCTACTGTCAGTGATCACTTTTAAAACAAGCAAAATACTATAAACTCATTGTTAATCATCAAGGGAGCTCTATGAGTCCGGAATTCTCCAAAGAATTTGGAATGTAACTTATGTCCATCTAGATTTTTAATTTTAAAACACTAAAACTTGCTTCAGTGTTCCAATGTACATGTATAACGTTACATGTATAAGACAAGATATGTATTGGACATAGTGATGTTAACTCAAAGATGATGGAAAAGGTATAGGTAGATACAGTATAATCAAGAGCTGATGAAACACTGGTATTTGTCCCTATAGCTATTTAGCTTTGTGGGCCCACACAAGGCTAAGACATGGATACCAGGCCAGTGAAACACCCCCATACAAACTGCACCAGGTCAACGACCTTGGAAATCACTAGCACATTCTGTAGGACACTTATCCCCTTTGTCCACAGCACAGGTCGTCGACCCTACCTGGGTATAACGTTACAAAAATAGCGAAAAATGGACCCATGAAATTGAAAACTTTGCAGGAAAGAAAGAAAGATTCGACCAATGAGAGGACAGCTAACTGAATCTCTGGTGTCGCTGACTCACCGGAAAGCCGAACTTCCTAATTGGTCAGCAGCACCACCCATAGTCACGTGATGCCACACTAATACAAATTTCTCATGACGGTTTTGAAGGCAGGGGAGAGACCGCGAGAGAAGTGAATATTCTTCCTCTTTGGGGTGTTCAGTTGGCACACCATCAAACTGACTAAGTAGGAGTAGTATCCAGAGGTC